GCGCTGCAATCTGATTGGCTTAAACTTTAAATGGCTATAACTCCCTTGTTTTTCAACCAAACAGGATGGGATTAAGAACATAGACAGACATAGTAGACTCCTACAAGAAGGTATGGTCATCATGCACGTGCGTGCACGTGCATATGAGTAAAATAGTGTAGACAAGATGATATCGTCATTACGCTCATGCAATCACATGCGCACGCCTGCATTACTTAAATTTGAAATACTTGGTTTACTTTTGGGAAAACATTGTTGCCGTCTTAAATGCATAGATTTTGCCTTCTTTAATGAAACTTACAGGGAATATGGCACGAGAAGGGAGTTGGGGAGCGTTTGGGGAACATCTGTAACGGTTCCCGTTACAATTAGCACTAGTTTTCTTTAAAATTGTGAAAAGGGGAGGGTGTGTATTACATATAACCCACACTTGCTAATGAACATCAATTTTTAAAAAGAATTATAATGCATAAATTTATGCATTATAATTCAAAAATAAAAACAATTTTTTTCTTCAAAAATTGTGAAAAAGATAACTTTAAATATCACCCCTACTAATGTGTTCGGAACCTTTTATTTTTCGGTGTTCTGCAAAATATAAAACCCGATGAGTTCAGAGTAGCTCTGGTAGTGTCTCTGGCGAGAGTTAGCGAGACTTCAGCGAGATAGGGTAAATTATTCACGGAAATGTGGCTAGGAAGTGACTAGCACGTGGAGGCATGGTAAACAGAAAAGTTATGTTGCGTTTCAGTTTTCACCACCCTAGAATCAGCTGATAATGTCTGTAGAAATGTACTTTATTCGATCTCTCTTAAATTCATTCAAACTTTAATAACTATTTTCTATGATACAATTTTCTGCAGTCATGAATTAAAAAAATTCTTTTTGGATAAATATTTTGCATGGGAACGGGACTATACTTTTTGGCGTCAGATTAGCAAATGATGCACCAACATGACTTTAACTGACAGATCGTCTGAATGAGAATTGCATTATGGGTTACTACGACTACAACAGGAATTTTACGCTTGAAAAAAAGGGAAACCTTATATGGTAAATGAAAAGCATTTTTAAAAATATTATTTTCATGCTCATAATGACAAATAATTCATTTGTTAAATAAACGGCGGAAGTCTAGGTTTCTGAAAGTCATACTCCAAAAGCGATTTTCGTCTGTATTTATTTCTTTGTTGTACTATCGGTGAATACAAGGTGAATTCCCTGGCCGAACACGTGATCAAGAACGAAAACAAAGTTTTGTCCATTTAAATGCATGAGATGCTGCTCGTCTTCCTTACCCTTGAAGCACTAGTGTTCCGAACTTAGACGCAAACTACATTTTATTAAACATTTTTTTCCATTTAACAACAACTTAAAAACGCCCGTAACACCTTTCATTTTGTATTTTGTTCGTAAGAACATTTTTTATTAATTTTCTGTCCATTAACATGATCGTAGATTGACCTGAACTAAGTGTTCGAAGTAAAATGTAAACATGTATTTGGCGTAAACGTTGCTATTCATATATATTCAACGATTGGTCAGTTCCTCGTGGTAAGATCCTCTGTGCGCATTTATACCAATAGCCATATAAGGCAAACAAAGGTTTGTCAGTGTAGATGATTATGCACATTTTTTACCAGCGAATCAGTCACTCTGTAATTTTCGCCGAAAAGTATATAAGATATATTGTTATTTTAACACACCCCCCTGTAGCCACCCTTTTTCTGTCGAAAATCATGAAAGTCTTTCAGGAAGGTCTGGAAACATTTATTACAGGACACGTTTTCAAAAGAAACAGGCTATAGTAATGTCATGTTTATGGCCAATTTTATTTATAAAACCGGTTCTACCCTATAACCTTTGAATAGATCAACCTGTACCACGTGTCTTGAATTTAAATCACAATAACATTAGTAGGGTTGAATATAAAAATAAGTAAATCAAATAGAACTGTAAAAGTTTGATAAACATTTTTTATTCAAAATATCTCAATAATGTCCTAAAAATGACAAAAACAAATTATGAAGGGTAAAACAATACTAATATTTAAAAACCATCTTATATTGAACATCACAGGAGTTTTACAATTCTTAATATTTTAGAGTTTTTATTCATTTATCATCTACAACTAAAATTTGTAGATAAAACAAATATCAATTTAATACATGCGTCCATTTTTTAAAAATTGTAACTGTTACGGGTTTCCTTTAATTTTGAAAGGAAATGAAAATACTTCTTTAAATTATTGAACATCAGATGGTCATTTATCAGCATTTCCGGTAAAATTTGATATACTAGTATCCATAAACACTAAAATATTCATAAGTTTCTCATAGCTACGGAAACTCGTTGTACAAACTATTTAACAGCAATGATTAAAGGGCCCTATAGCAGTTTTTCTTTTATTTTTATTTTTTATTTTTTTTGATAAATTTAAATGCAATATTGCGTTGTATTTGATAGCAAAATTAAAACAACATAAGATTGAAAGGTAACGTTCAATCTGATTCCAAATCTACATTAATGTTTGGTGTTTGATTAAACTCGTTGAACAAGGGATTTTCCGTTCCCTCCCTTGTGTTGTTTACATCATCCACAGGTTCATCCACAAACCTATTTTCTGGTGCCGTGACACCAGGATTCTTTTCATTTATCTCCCCGGCTTTTCCCTCCACATTTGTAGCGTCACTGCTCTCTTCCCTCTCCTTCCTCTTTGTGCTGACACGATATTTCTTGTTTTTCTGGGGCTTAGATCGCTTCAGGCGCACCACCAGAACGACAACAAGAATAATTATCACCACCCCAAGACATGGCACCACCACAGCAACCACAGGGAAATCGGAGGAAGAAGGAGTTAATCCTCCATTAACTCTTACTTTGAAAGTGATTTGTAGCTTCGCTGACACATGCATACTAATTGTAGAGTTCTCAGAACTCAAGGCCTGCGTTTGAAAGTAAAAAATTAAGAAAAGCAGTAGATCATAGAAGTGAAAAAAAGTGATTTATGAAATATATATTTATTATGTACACTTATCAATCCAAGAATATCGACACTGAAGTATGGCACGGTGAACTTGAGTGTTTTCATGAAAAGAGAAGATCTTGTACACACATGTATTGCACTAGAACACTATATAAAAATACATTGTAAAAAAAATCCTCCATGTTTCTTTTGCTTTTACGCTTCACCATTCTATGATCAAACCTTCACCGCACACAAAATGAGAAAAAGCAACACAGCTAGTGGCCCGCTTTCACATGATAGCAAACTAAATCTCTACACATACTGATGTAGCTATGTGAAAATTCCCACAAGTTTGTTAGCTTTTAAAACAAAAGTTATTAAATATTATCAACATTCAGCATTTTCGTCACTTTGAAAACGCTATACACATTACACTGATATGTTAATTGTATTGCAATATTAATATATACTTGGATTTCTAAGTTTATGTAGTAATCAAATAGTCTTAAAAAGCACCTTGAACAAAATTATACATAATATTGTAAAATGAGACTCTTGAGTAACAAAATGACAACATATAATGACAATGTAATGTTAGACATGTTAGATCTTTCTGCCATTTTAAGACACCCTGCATCAGACGCCCTCCTTTTCGTCTTTGAAGGCATGGTTGTCCATCTCAGTAGACGTCTCGTCGTGGCCAGTATCCCCGTTCACATTCTTCTCCCCGAGGTTGTATTTCTGTTGCGGCTGTGACTTCCTCATCTTAATAATGACCACGATCAAAATAATAAGAATCAGAGCTGCCACAATAGGCAGGACGATTATCAGCACCTTATTGTCGGTACTTTTGTCTGGGTTGGCTTTTTCTATGGGTGCTGGGGTTGTGGGGGCGGGGGTTGTCGTGGGTCGAGCTGTGGAAGGCGTTCTAGTGGTTGGTGTTGAAGGTGAGATGGTAGTAGGTGATGACGTCGGTTGTGACGTCACTTCCTCTGTGGTGGTTGGTTGAGTGGTTTGGGGTTCTGTCGTTTGTTCGGGAGTCGTGGGTGGGGGTACCGTCACATTTACGGTTAAAGTGAAATTGTCTGATTTCTGTCCATTATCTCCCATAGCCTGAAACGCATGCGTTATGAAATGAGTTGCAAATACTGCAAATGGTAAATAAGCTTTTATCTTAACTAGGTTCCAGCCCAACTATTTAACTATTTGTAATCTAAATTAGCCAATACCAAAAGAAACGCCACAGAACCAAAAATTAAAAAGAACAAACCTGCAGAACTACCACCACACTGAAGTCTGAAGATTCACCGAAGTTGGAGAAGTTTGCAAACGACTGATTGAGAATGAAACTACCATTTTCAAACTCAATATTGTCTTTGTATTTTTCAGGGTAAACTGCAAATTTAAAATTTCAGGTAAAAATAAGCAGACATTTTTTTTCTATATAAAACTATATATTTGTATCTGATCATGAAATTTGACGATAAAGAGCAGTGATCATTATGGAGATCTCAATAAACAATACAAATTGTGAACAGAATCATCAATAACATTTAAAATACTGTCACATCTTGAACAGATTTAATACATGTTTTATGAATTTTAAAAAAACCTGTATAGTTAACATTTTACCGTCTAAACTGTACGTAATATTTGTTTGGCTGTCGGGATCCACAGCTTTTATGCTGCTAGGTTCAGTTTTTACGATTCCCTACAAAATATCAAGATATCTTTCTTTGTAAGTTGTACTTGAAAAAGTGACACTATCTTAACATTAAAATTTTTAAATTATTAATCTTTAAAAAAATATGTGTTCTTTTCTTGTAGGTTCCACGAATACCTGATCAAAATAATTGATGGTAACAGACAAATCTGGAACTGCACAAGAATAACATGTTATAGAGCAGCCATATCTGACAAACACAGGAGGAGTGTCATCCACGTCAACAAAATTAACAGTCAGGATTGTAGTCACGGTATGTGGACCGTCCTAAAAAAATAACATGCATATTTCTAAAATCTTAGTTAAAAATTTTAAGTACAAGCAGGGTTTTTTGAGGTCTTGAAATCAAGGGCCTGGGCCTTTCCATTTGGGAAAAATAGCGACATTTTTTGAAATTGGGAAAAAATATATTTATTTAATTTTTTTTTGTGAATAAATTCAAATAAAAGGGTTTGTTTTTCATTTGCAAGGTATTTACAAATGTATTGACTTATTTTACATTCAGTCAATCGGTTTTTGGAGCATGCATGCCTATTAGATGTTTTTAACAGCACAAACAAAACCATATTTGTTCAAATCGATTCTCTTTGGGGAATTTTCTTTGATGAAATTGGGAAACACACACTTTTTAGCATTGGGAATGGGGCCTACTACTGAACAAGTATCCTCATCTCTTTCGTTTCATTTTACGTAAATGTGGTTGTAGAGTAATCCTAAGTTTCTTCTTCAATGCTGTTAATACATCAGTAAAGAATAAAAAGAAAGGTGTGGTAGAACAATAACTGGAAGCTGATATAGATATGAGTTTTATATAGTTAAGGAATCTATTATATAGGTATAGCATTTTTTTTTTTAAATGAACATTTTCAAAAATGAAAACTTTTCCTGATTTTCAATTATTTTCGCAATGTTAGGTGTTCTTGAAATCAACTTAAGGTTCTTGTTGAAATTTTTTTTTAAAACAACAGAGAAGGGACCTTAGAATTTTTATAAAGTGAATGTAAATCATTCATCTTTGGTATTTTTGTGTTACTCGTGATGCTCTATGATGATTTTTTTTTTAGAATATCTAAGAGGAGTCTGTAAAATCGTGAACAACGCATTTCTCTTAGAAATTTATTTTCGTATTAAATAAGCTGAAACTTTCAATAAATGTTTACTGTTAGGCCATTATTAACACAATGAATTGTCTACGGATTTTTTTTCGTTTGCCTAGTCGACATGACAAGAAACGTACGAGGGTGTGACCAGTCGACATGGGATGCTTACTGCTTCAAGGCACCAGATCCAACATCTGATGTTTTAGTACTCCATGATCTTCAAAAAAGGAAAAGTTTCTGACAATTCAGTGTGTAAATAATGTCCCAACGATTGAAAAACGCCAGTAAGCATTTTTCTTTATTGTAGCTGAAAAATCATCGAATTTGCCAAAAGTGTATTGACATTCATTACAGGAGATTTATATATATATATATAGAAGACCCACTATACCTTTAAAGTACACTTTTATGACGCAACATTCGCATCTTTCCGAGAAATACTTTAAGTCCATTAAGTCGCGGGTCATATCACAAACATGATTTAAATGCCTAAAATCACCATGAGTGGTGTAGCATAGTGGTTAACGCGTAAGTCTCAACGCAGTATACTCTAGATACGTCGGATTTTTATTGCTTAGGGTTCGAATCCCACAAATACCGTATAATAATTTTATGAAAGAAAAATTTTTTTACGAGATTTTTTTTTCCCTCTCAGAAAAGTTTTTTTTTTCTCATAATTTCAAAAATATCAATAATTTGATGTTAATCTATATTTGATTTCTTAATATCTGACGCTATAGGCATTCTGCCAGCCTTGTTCCCCCATCTTCTTTATATTATGTTATCATACATATCAAATTTCAACAGTTTGATGCTTTTTTTCCTTTTTAGTTTTGTTTCTTACCTTTGCAGTTATATTTAATATTCCTCCTGTTTGTCCCAGACCACACTGGAATTTGGTCTCTTCGTAATCAAAGTTCTTTGTTTGATATAAAAAACCTGTAGCATTGTTAACCGTGAAATAATCTCTGGCATCATTCTAAAAAAGATAATTTTTCAATAATCTCATTCTTTTCCCTCAAATTTTATGCAGTCGAAATACTTTTTTGAAATTTTCATTTCTGAGATATCGACATTTTTTACCACAGTTTATCACTTCATTTATTCTATTTCCTATAGTAATGTATATGGATATATTGATTATATTTGAAATACAGAACCAATAACAAAATTTTCTTTGCTCCCTAAATTTGGTAAAGGAAGGGATATATATATATATATATATATATATATATATATATATATATATATATATATATATATATATATATATATATATATATATATATATATTTGTATATATATTTTGCAAGCATTATTTTAAGGAAATAAATGGACTAAACGAACAGTATTCAAGATCAAAAGTCCATGAAACAATGTAGATTAGGAGCAAACACGGACCGCCAAAACATCAGAGGTGGAATAAGGTGCCATTGAGGAATGAGCATCCCCTGCTGACCGGTCACACCCGCCATGAGTCCTTCTCATGATCGGGAAATAATGGAAAAATCCGTCATCAAATAATTATAAAATAATGGACTAACAATTAGTATGAATTAGTCAGCATTTGACTCAATGCTAAATTGTATTTGCTGACCAGGTCATTGTATCGACCACAGAACGTACGAAATGATGACTTTAAACGAGACTGCTGATATTCTTGTTTCATCAACTTGTTTGTCAATAATTTGCCTCGTCTTTGAAACTGTTCATACGTAAAGCATATTCTTGCGTATCGAATCAACTGCATAAGTAAGGGAAGTTGACAATAGAAAAGTTAAAATCATCACGTTTATCATAGTGCTTGGTTGTTAGTTTAGTATTAACGTCTTTTTCAAGTAAAGTGTCTAAATATGAAACAGATATGTCAGACTATATGGTTTATTATCATAATTTTACATTTTACAGATATTAAATCTGCAGATTTGTGAAATATACAAATTCACACATATGTGGAATTTTGTTTCATTATCAAAAGTCTTTGAAATAAATTATATAGATTTGAAATTTCTACATATGTGTGCTCTTAGTTTACGGTCTTGGGTCTTGATCAAGTGGTTGTTTGTATGTATTTATTAAACCACTTTACAATGGCGGATTTAAGGGAGGGGGGCATGGGGGGCGCACCTCCCCTAAAATTGTCAAAGTATGATATGAATAATATTAATAATGCCATACTTTGGTACAATACCACTATTTTGTGCCTAGTTTTACTCTTAAAAACACGAAAACCCAGGAGCTTCCGAGGGGATTCGCCCCCTGGAACCCCCTTCATTCAAAGTATGATATGACTAGCATTAATTATGTCATACTTTGGTACATACCTAACCAACACCACTATTATTGTGCCTGGTTTTACTCTTAACATACACGAAAACCAAAAGCTTCCGAGGGCTTCGCCCCCTGGGTCCCCACAAAGGCTTCGCCCTGGAACCACAGGGGTGCTTAATGCGACCCCAGGCCCCTTGCCTGAACGAGGTTATCCACGCCCCCCTAATCACAAATCCTGTATCTGCCCATGCTTTATATAAATAAAACAAGAAAAAGATTTTGTCATACTCCTACAAATAGCTAGATTTTTTTATGCCTATACAAAGTCAAAAAAGTAATATTTTTGCATTGATGTATTACTTTTATCTATGAGTCAGTCCAACATAAATTTTAGATCGCAACGTCACTGCTACTAAAAAATATGGAGATAACGAATAGTTTTCCAGCTCAAAAGTTAATGGAAACTACAAATCTGAAGCAGAACAAACAAGGACCTTTAAAAATATCAGAAGGGGATATTGGAGGCCCCAGGGGAGAAACCCCAAAAATTTCTCTCAAACCTAAACATAACTTTTCATTTTGCCGAATCTGCGTTAAACAAAATCAATTAATTAATCTTACCTCCCCAGCAGCCTTTGAAATGCTTATGACAGGGTTTTCCTTCGGACAATCTCTATCTTCAAACGAATCAAACATACGCCTTATAAATATTTGGGAAAGATGATCTCCCTAAAAATAACAAATTTCTTGAAAATTGTATAAAAACAAATGTGCACATAAGTTTTTAAAGTACCCGAATATTTAATTTCAAATGAACAAACCTCATTTATATGAACTGGTTCACGATTGACTGCACTTGGGGAGTATTCGTTTACTGGATTGACTTTGAACGTTAGATCTCCGTCTTTCTATTTACAGATTTGGATTCATGAAAAAGATGTAATCATAATTCTTAGAAAGATTCCTTGCCATGAAAATGAAGTTATAAAATTGAACTAATGTGCATTCTTACTGGTGAGCCATCGGGTCCTGTACACGACACTCTTTGTATAAATTGATACTCAGCAAGAGAACAGGGCTACAAATTAAGATTATAACACTTGAATTTTAATGCTATAATATGCACGTATATTTCGTACCCTTACCAAAAAGCTGAAACTATAGCGCATTTAATTTCCATGGGATCTTAAACAGATTGTTGGAAGACTGTTCTTTAATTCTAAATACTTTCAAAAAGAAACTATCTCAACTTTTTAATGTTAAGTTTGGTGTACTTTAGTACTTGTATCTTGATATATTTTTAACAAAATAATTTTGCAAATTACTGAAAAGTTAAGTAAATAAATGAGGTTTTTCTCTTGAAAAAAAGTTATCTATTATATCAGGAATTGGGGACTTTAATAATGTTGAGGTATGGGTAAATTGCTTCACACACTTTTCAAACCCACATGATTTTTCGCACAAATTAAACTAACATTGTTATAATGCGATATTGTGAGTCAACAAAATATATTTCAAAGTGATTGTTTATCAGCAATATTTGGTAGGACTTGAATATACTCCTGGCTTACACATTTGGACGATTCCCAAATTGTTTTGTGCCTATTTAAGCCGTCTTTATATCTGTTCATTGAAAGCATTTACCTAAAAAATATTTAAAGATCCCAATTCTTCATTTTACTCTTTCTTATAATTTTTAAAGAATTAACCTTCCTCATAATTTTGGATATATACCATCTTTAGCGGTACAATACTTTTCTTCAACTCTCGCAATCTATTGTGTTTCCTGCAATGCTAATGTTGAAAAAATTACAATGTTTGAAACCCTTTTAAAGATTTTTCTGTCAATGGAAACATTTTACTTTTTAAAAATAAAATTGGCATGGTTTGTATCCGCGGCGATTGAGTTTTATTTTGAAACTATATTTCGATCGTTTCCGTTATCTTAACTTTTTAATTATATCAATTAATGTATCTCAATATGGTCAAATAAATTAAATAAGTATAATGGATTCATGAAAAAGTTTGAATTTCCTTTGCCCTGACCGGTCAGCAGGGGATGCTCACTCCTCCATGGCACCTGATCCCACCTCTGATGTTTTGGAGGTCTGTGTTTCCTCTGCTCCTATTTGGTATTGTTTGATGGATTTTTGAGCTCGAATACTGTTTGTCATCTCCATAAATTTCATTTCATCACAGACACTGATTTAGGTCAACTTACACAAAATTTATACTATATTGCAAACTTTAAATGGTCAACAAAAGCCTTTTATGCATGTAAGAAGTAGCCAATTGTCCACAAATCGCTTTACAAAACTATAAAATTATACGATAAATCAAATGTTTCTTATTGTGAGCATGGACATTGCAGATTCCTTTGTTTGAAATACAAATACGATTGTCTTTAGGAACGCAAGTAAAAGAATGCCCCTTTTTCAAGCATTTCATTTCATAGTTTTATTGTAGTACACAATCGTTTGATATGGTTTAGCTTATTGGTAGCTGCAATAATGTAGCCCTCTCCGATTTTTTTTTTATCTGATATCCCCCCCCCCCATTAAAAAGGGGGAGAGGGCTACATTATTGCCACTAAATATATCCGAATTGTTAGCAGACGAATAGTTTCTGGATATTTAACTCTAGAAATAGTTAACTAAAACAATTGAAATATCATAGATTGATAAAATAGATTGTTTGGATTATTATTAATAGGTTGTTTATCCTAGTTTATTGAGAAAAGTACTGTCTTTAGAAATTTACATTTTACAGATGACGTAGTCACTGCAGCACTGCATCACGATATACTATAAATGTATTATATCTAGCGTGTACGATAATGGGCGGAAATTGATTTTTGAATAAGTTAGCGTAAATTTGATTTGGCACATTTTTCATATTCTTATCTATGTGTTTACGTGCAAGACATTTAGCTGCATACAAATGTACTTGATTTAGCGGTTGCTGCGATCCGCTAAAGCTTCTAAAAAGAACACACAGCCAAATGTAATACGTTTACAGTAAAAGCAGAAAACTTCAAGGGGTCTTGTCAGATCTTCTCCAGAAAAATAAGAGATGGACATCAAGAGTCGGTGTCAGTCGGTGCCAGGCAAGAATAAGGTAAATTAAAATTTTATATGGGTTAGAAATTAGTTTTGAAACTTCTTATTCTATTTAGAAATTATAGCAAAATGTAAATTCTTTAGATGATATTTGAGAATATTGAATATACTTGGTGCGAGATTTTGAACCAAAGTTTGTTTCTTAAATTATTAGAATGCATTTTAGTATTATAATATTGACTGTGTAAGCTTGCAATTTTGAATTTAGAATAACCAATTCCATTTGATTAGATTTAGCTTCATTGGCACCGATACCGAGTACTGGGTAGCACCGTGCACTTGGTTGCACCGAGTTGTACCGAGCACAGATTAGTTTGTTTGACTATTTTAAGTTGCATAGGTTATAATTATCAATGGAGTTTTAGCACAAGAATTCTCCTATCTAAGCATGACATGCTAGCATAGGATGGGGGTGGACTTTTATTAAGAAGTAGAAATTTTGGATTTCAGATAGAGTTCTGATTACAGTATCAGAGTCCCTGATTGTGCCTGTATAGTTATTCATAGTAGTAGCAGCAGATAGCACCAAACATCTTGAAGCTCCGGAAACAACAAAGTAGAACAGAACACCTAGTAGCACCGGCAACCTTATTGGCTTGTAGCACCGGAAACCGAGTAGCACCGAACTCCCAGTAACACTGAGCTCCGTGAAAGTTCGTCCGTATACTTACTATTAAAGAAACATTTTAAATATTTATTGAAATTTATTTATTGTCTTTCATGCTTTGGTGCTATAATAAACATATGTATTAACTGTTTTTAAATACTTCTTTTCTTTTTCAAAACTAGATACTTTCGAACCTAGTTATTGTAACATCCCTCATAGGTACCAGGTCGACGTAAATATTACACGTTACAATTGGTAGCAGCATTTTTAAAAAAAATTATATTAATATCAATACTTATGAAACCCGAAACGTTCATAATCTTGAATGCCAGATATAGATTTTACTCAAATAGTAAAATGCTTTCTTTGGTTGTAGTACGGTTTTAATGTCGCAGCTATTGCAGGAAAAAAAATAAACCACATAATCGGGTTATGCAATTTTCTTCTGCAATAGCTGCGACGGTGATTCCCATACTAAAAACAAAAGAAAGCACTTTATTGTTTATATTTACATCTGTATTAAAAATCATTCTGAGTAAGTTTAAATTGCTTAAATATTGTATTTAAGATGAATATGTCATTGGGTGCATAACTGATAGAACAGCCATTGTTCGAGAAATCTACACACGTGGGTTGCATAGTGTTGCAAAAGAAACAAAGAAAAAAATATTCAGTGGATGTAAATACATTGAATGTTTTTAACACATTTGAATGACATATGAGTAACGAACAGTATTCAAGTTCAAACGTCCATTAAACAATACAAATCAGTGATTTCCAAACATCAGATTTGGGATCAGATGCCATGGAAGAATGAGCGTCCCCTGCCGATCGGCCACAATTACCTCCGTGTGCTTGTTGTCATGATCGGGAAAAACGGAAAATTCCATTGACAATTCAGTGTGCATACAATTGCTTAACAATAAGTATAAAAAACATCAGTCAACATTTGACTTAATGATGAATTGTACTTGCTGAAGGATAGTTAGTTTTCATTTTGCCCCTCAATTACTCCGTCTCTTTCTGCGCTACAACTGTCTTGTCTGTTTTAGCTAAATAATGTAGCTGTGTATTTGTATAGGATCGTCGGAAGAGACAAAAATTTTATTTGCATATTTATAATATCGGAATACCGTTATTAATATTGGAAAAGATACGTGGTTTTTATTTGCACAGTTTTACAACATTCATAGAAATATCGCGCTCACTATAGAACATGCCCGCGAACTTGTCTAACAAATCCCGTATGTTAACTCAATTTATCCCGGTTAATTTGAAAAAAAAACATCAAATGGTTTGCCACAACTGTTTCAAATTTGGATGTTTGATTGACTATAGACGAGCAAACTATAACAAATAAATTGAATGACAATCTATATAATTATACAAGTTACTTTTCATCGCCAACTTGACTTATTCATCTAGTACCTGTATATGTTGTTCTCGTCTCAAAACTTTTTCGATATTCAAGAGCATGTTCTGCGTTCGATCAATTTTTATAGCAAGGCAAGCTGACTACTATAGTCAACCCTTTAACCCTTCCCTATGTCACTGATGATGTGAGAACATTGTTTTCATGTAGATAAAGTTATGCATTGCTTTAAAAGTGTTATATTATAGAAAACATTAGCAAATATGACATAACTTTAACACCATAAATTGAAATACATCTTTCTTACATTTACATCCAGATCTCTGCTTTGTTGCAGTAATACAGAGTACGTCTGGTTTTTAAATTCCAATGAAACCTGTGGATTGGTATCACTTAAGTTCCATTTCTGTGTTGTAGAATTTGTCTGATCTCCAATGAATAGGATAGAACCTTGAATGAAAAAGAAAAAAAAATCATGCAAAAGCCAGAACAATTACTTGTATCACTTTCAGGTAAATAAAATCAAATTACCTGGTGAAGAAGTTTCATCGAAGGAAATTTCCGGTGGCAACGGAATGGACTGACAGTGGTTTTCTAGTTAAAAAATATATACATTTTAGGAACATCTTAAAATTGAAAGTTTGGTACAAAGAAAATCACGTTTAACCGGAAGGAAGATATGTCGTGAAAAGTCCCGTGGGGATCCGGGTAGAATAGGTCCTCAGAACCACTTGCTTGTCGTAAAAGGCGACTAAATGGGGCGGTCCTTCGGATGAGACCGTATAAACCGAGGCCCCGTGTCACAGCAGATGTGGCAAAAGATTCCTCCCTGTTCCAAGGCCGTAAGTGCCGAGCATAGGCCTAAATTTGCATCCCTTCACCGGCAATGGTGACGTCTCCATATCAGTAAAATATTGTGGAGAGGGACGTTAAACAGTATACAATCAATCAATATGTCGTGAAAATATACTTTTTTTTACAAGGTGTGTTTTGCCTACCAAAGACATTTGTTTAAAAATTACTAAAAGGGGCGCGTTTGACCTTTATTCAATGATATGGCACATTTAAGACTTAAGACATATGTACTATGACAATATGTGAAATTATATATTTTGTTATGCAAGAAAATTCACGCAATACTCTTTGTGGAAGGTTTTATTACTTTTGTTTATCATTTCTCCGTCCATTTAATAGAAAACGGAGATAAAGACCACTTAATTTTTTTCTCCTTTGAGGAAAAGAACTACGTACCTTGTGTAACAACACCATTTAAACCACTGATAAGCAAAAAAGCAAACAACACCTTCATAATGTAATATTTTTCTTGGTAAACACTTTTAAACTGAAATAAATCCTCAGAAATTAATATAAAATAATCCTAGTTAATTATTCCTCTGTTTGCAAAAAAAAAATTCTCTGTAAATCCGTTGTAGTTCTAGTTGTCTTTTATCACTTGCAGTTCTACATCAAGGGACTGTCACCGTAAGAATCGATATCTTTTAGCGGGATAAGATTAATTCACCGAATTCGGCTAATTTTATCAAAACTGTTTTCTCTTGAGCTGAGTCTGAATACAAACGGGCATGATTGTTTAAGTTTCCTTGTTGTAAAACTCCCGTTAAATCGATCACAGCGGTAAAACCTCACATACCTGCATTTTTATCACCTGTTAAGGTGAACTCACCAATAAAATCTATCGTCAATTCTCAAACTGGCGAGGAAAGCATGAACACTTACTTTAATAGGAACATTTATAATTTCTTCTTTTATCATATTTCAATATTTACATTCAATACGATTAAAGATGTCAAGCAATATTTTAGT